GAGCCGGCGGCTTGAGTGAGCATGTGACGACCCCGGGCTGGACTCCGCTTCGTCCACGGTGAAAGCCGATCCGGCGATCGACAGTTGATGTATTTTCTCAGCGACCAGCACGGATCAGCTCTAGACATGACGAAGCAGATATCGTCCTCTTTTGAAAGGCCAAACAAAGTAGTTTCACTTTCACGACGAAGCACACAGCGTCTTCACGACATGGCGGCAACAACAATACTACAGCGAGAATAAAAGTTACGCCTTCTTTCTTTGTGTGAACATTTGGGTGGCGTTATGCAAATCTTCCCACATAGTGAGGTAGGTATGTGGGGGCGTGTTAGAACGAGCCGTTTTAGGTAGGTGTGGCTGACTCTTAACTTTTATAAAGAGTATCTCTTTGGATTTGAGACTTTAGTTTTTGCAACTTTACAGATCTCATTTCAAATGTTTGTTCAGTGTTTTCATCTATTTATTATTATTATTATTATTATTACCGTATTGTCCCGAATATAAGACAATGTTTTTTTCTTGGAAATACTTCTGAAAAAATAGTTTTACTTTTATTTAACAAAAATAATAAGTTTGTGAGAATATAAAAATAATATCACTGGCATGTTTTCACATAGTTTAAGGACAAAATGTTTGTCAGAGGTTACCTAAATCTGACAAATGATTCATAAATAAAATATACTATGTTTAATAACACTATTTAGAACCTTTTTTTTAAATTATAAAAATTTAGATTTTTTTTGCATTAATAATAATCTGTAATAATTATAATTATCTGTATTTAAAAACAAAACAAAAAATGGTATGCCTTCTACATTTAAAATACAATCGGCATTAATTAGTTGATTTACTCATTTAGTTAATTAGTTCATTAATTTTACTTTATTAAAGTAAAAAAAAAAAAAAGAGAATAAACTACAAATTATGGAAGGACACAAAGATGCTGTTATATGTAGGGATGTAACGATTAACCGCGAGCCGGTTGAAAATCGATTCAAATATGTGACGATTCAAATCGGTTGAGATGCTAAACAAATCACGATTCATTTAGGGGTAGGAGTTTATATGAATGCATGTCTGAGGGGAACTTACTGTCTTTAGAAAAGTTTAGATGGTATTTTTTCTTTTCCTCTTGCCTCTGTATAATGCATATTAAAGTTCATAAGTGCAGCGCTGCTTTGTTTTCTGCGGAAACGCTTTAAGCGCCACCTGCTGGCAGAGAGTGAATCTGCGTCTCATTCAGCTCGTCTGCTGTTTCTGTTTCATGCAGATATTTTTATGTATAATTTCACAAAACTGAAGTCAAACCATTCTGTGTTTGCTTCAAATTTCAAAATTATACAATCCCATTTAGATTAAAAAGAGCATCTTTGTTTGGATCATGATTAAAATGCAGTGGTTGCCTCTCATTTTAAACGGAAAGAGCACAGACAAAGCCTTAGTTTGTTTATATGAAGAGATTTCTTTTATTTGTGTTACTTATGTATTTGATTTAGGGCTTGTTTTAAAATTTCAATTTAGTTTTGTTATTTACATTTACATTATATTTAAATTTAGTCATTTAGCAGACACTTTTGTCCAAAGCGACTTACAAATGAGGACAATAGAAGCAATCAAAACCAACAAAAGAGCAATAATATGCAAGTGCTATATTAGTATATTATTATAGTTATATTTCAATTTCACAAAGAAATGTGCAGCATTTTGTCCAAGCAATAACAAAAGGACACATTTAATTTATAATTTGTCTTAAATCTCATTTTGTAAAAAAACAAAAACAAAACGAGAATCGAATCGAATCGTGAGTTGAGTGAATCGTTACATCCCTAATATATAGTGATAAAATGTTTTGAATTTTTAAAAAAAACCTTCCTGGGCATTAAATTAAACCTAGAGGAGATCTGCAGCTGTAATCCGGTCTTTGAGAGTTCACACATAAAGCGAGATTAAAACTGTAATCACCGTTTGAACCTTTGGAATCATGGAGAGCCACATTTATAATCTCCCCTCAGTTGCATGAAGTATAATGCTGCACAAAGTATAATCTCACTCATTCTCCTCATATTCCAGAAACAGAATGTGCAAAGATCACCACTGTGCTTCTGAAGTCCCGCACCGGGGAGTTCGATTTGGAGTCCATTATGTTTCTTAAGCTTAGGAATTTAGGTAAGATGATACTGATTTTATTGTCTGCAGAATACATTCTCGAAATACACAAAAACACAATCTTGCATGTGTTTTTGCAGGAATTTATGATCTTGGATGTATAGGAGAGTGTATAAACCTGGAAAGGCTGGACCTCTCTGGAAATAACATCACAAATCTGGGGCCTCTTTCACCTCTACGAAGACTTCTTGTTCTTAACTTGTCAGCCAACAGAATCTCTAATTTAGGTAATAGTTATTTAAATCTTAATTTAATAGTTTTAACAAAAAAGAAAATTAGCTGAAAATGTCCTCACCCTCAGGCCATTCACGGTGTAGATGAGTTTGTTTCTTCAAAGCAGAGACATTTGGAGAAATTTAGCACTGCATCACTTGCTCACATAAAGCAATTGCTCTGCAGTGAATGGGTGCCGTCAGAATGAGAGTCCAAACAGCTGACAAAAACATCACAATAATGGATTCCAGTCCATCAATTAACATTTTATAAAGGGAAAACTTTAACTAACGTTTTAACTTTAAAGTTTGTTTTAGCCAGAATATGAGTCCATAATCCATGCATAATGCTTTCTCCAGTGAAAAATTCCATCTCCTGTTGTCCTCTAACATCAAAATCCACAAACATAATTGTTTACAGCTGTTGTTTTTCACAGGAGAAAACACTATTATGGATAGAGGACTATTGAAGGTTTAAAGTAACATCTTCATGGATATGTTTCTTACAAACATGCAGCTTTTCACTTCTCAAGATATCAATTGATTGACAGAATGCATGTTTTTTTCCCACAGCTTTTTCTGTGTCTTTTTAAAAGTCCATAAGCTTGATGCATCACCGGTGCCAGAAATCCAAAATGCTCCGTGTTGCCTGCAGTGTGAGGGTTTAGTTTTTGTAACTACACTCGAGTTCTTTCTGATTGTCCACCGTTTAGAGACCAATACTGTAGTTACCTCTAATCCGATTTGATCACTGTCTCAGGATGTTCACAATCAAGACAATTCCTCTTTGCACTCCTGTTTTTATCAGTTGTTTAGACTCTCATTCTGACGGCACCCATTCACAGCAGAGGAACCATTGGTGAGAAAGTGATGTAATGCTACATTTCTGTTCCAATTAATATCTTGGTATCCTGAAAATTAAAATTTTTACATGAACTATTCCTTTAATGTGATTATATATCTGACTTTCGGAGTTGAACATGTTTCTTCTCAGAACCTCTTTCCAGCTGTGAAGGTTTACTGAGTTTGAATGTTGCTGGCAATGTGATACCGAGGTAAGCAGCCTTTTTAGCTACTCATATTTATCTGCTTTCCTATCCACCTTTCTATGTCACACATGATGCATTGCACCTACAGTGTTGATAATCTTCATGCACTGAAGTCTTTAAAGAAGCTGGAGAGCATCAGACTGAAGGACAACACCTATAATTATACCAATCCAGGTTAGTGGTTTTCTGGGTTTTTTTGGTTAAATGTTTTTGGAGCTCTAAATCTGGTCCTTAATTCTTACCAATTTATTTTGCTACAGTCTGCAAGAATTTATCATACCGGACTCTTATTCTTGAAAATTTCCCAAACATGAAAGTGTTGGATGGTGAGTTTTTAATGGAATTCTGCTAAACACGTTTTTTGTTATTTCACATGTGGTTGTGCATTACATTTCATACTCAGTCTAGCAAGTTATCAAATTCTCTTTTAACATGTCATTTCAGGTGAAAGGGTGGTGGGACGTGGAAGTGACTTATACCAACTATGCAAAGATATTGATGATACTATTAAAGGTATTTGCTGGAATTTTAATCCTGTCATTTAATAGATTTTAAGAGAAAAATTCAATGCACTTGTGTATTATTTTAGGTCATGCAATTTTGTGTATATTGTAATATCACGCTTAACTGTAATGATATAAAAAAAATGTTTTGCATCAAATGTTTGATTAATTAGTGCATGTTAACTTTGACAGCCCTAAAAATACACTTCCAACACTTCCAACTGTACTAACAGTATAGGGTTAGTACAATAAAAGTAATTATTAATTTTATTCAGCAAAAAAAAGATGCATTACATTGGTCAAAAGTGACAGTAAAGACTTTTACATTGTTACAAAATATTTTATTTCAAATAAATGCAGTTGTTTTGAACTATTTATTCATGAATAAATCCTAAAAAAAGAGATAATTATAAAATCTCAGTTGTAACTTGTTAGGAACATTTGTGAATTAATAACAAAATTAATAAAAATAAACTACACCGGCATCTTCTAAACGCTGAAATCTCATAAGATAAATGCACCTTAGTAGTGCTGGAGGTCTTTTATTTAGAAAAGCATTGTAAAAATGTAAATAAATAAACATTAAACATTTAAAATAAAACATCCAAATAAATGAATTAATGTATTTTAAATACATGCATAGTGATTAGGAAAATGTAATAATGTAACATATATGTTTATATTGATATTTAAATATAAAAATAAATAACACACACAGATAGATAGAATTAAAAAAAAAAAATTTACATGATAGATAGGATTAATTTTTTTTTTTATATAAGAATAGCTGCCTTTTCTAAAAAAAGAGATAATTATAATAATAATAAATGTTTCTTGAGCATTAAATCGGCATATTAGAATGTTTTCTGAAGATTCATATGACATCGAAGACTGGAGTTATGATGCTTGCAATTCAGCTTTGCATCACAGGAATAAATTACATTTTAAAATATTTTTTTTTTACATGAGAATAGCTGCCTTTTGGATGATCATATTTGGGGGTCCGTGAGATCAAAACGATTGAAAACCCTGCCGTAAGGCAACGCATAGCATCCTAGTAGTGTAGTTACAATCTGGCAACCCTAGATACCATAGTAGAGGATGAGACACCGTCCGGGGAGCTGCACTGAGAAGTCGTCTGAACACGATTAGCACAGGATGGCTGGAAACGCGTGGAGGTCAACGGTAAGAACTACATTACATGACAAACCTCCGATCATAGCAATCTGTGCTGTGTTTTGCCAAATATAACTGTGTAGTATGAGTGCAAGTATATACTTAGCTTGCGCTGAAAACGTTGCGTTACAGCGGCCCTGTACTGCATGCCCTTCACACCGGCACTTACACGTTTAACACATTTAACAGCTCTCAGTCGACTCATCTACTAGTCTTTTAACAAATATAAATGTAGTTAAGAGAATGACACGATGCGTGTTAATCTCGTGAATGAATCACGCCTCAGGCGAAAGCCACAGATGTTCAACCTCTGCAGTCATCCTCACCATCCACACATTATTGTGCGTAATACCCCCAGATAGTATGCAGACTCAACCAGGAGGACAGTAAGGTCAGGTTATGAAATTTAAAACTACATTGCTTTTTCAGCTCCTAAAACTTCTCGAGAGATGCGGCGTGCGGATAAGTGAGGCGCGCTCGGCTCCGGAAGTAAGACGCGCATCTCAGCTGCTAGCGCGCAGTGGCTTGTAGTCATTAAAGATGGCAAATCTGACATGGACATTAAAATAGTCAGGGAGAAATAGAGTTTAGAAATGAGTCGAGTAAAACAGCTGATTTAAATGTGCAAGGAGAACCGTTAACGCTACCTAACCAACCAGTCTGGTGGATGAAGGTCACCTCGACAGGTTTAGTGAACAAGAGCTGGCTGAGGTCAAGACTAAACTAGACCAGAGACTTAATTTATGACTTCCATTATGGACTGAATGTTCTTCTAGAAGAGGAAAAGAAACATGAATATAAGTGATAAGATGCAGAAGAACCTTTTGTGTCATTCAGACTGCTGTTTTACCTATAATCTATGGGTTATGATGTAGTTTAGATTCATTTTACTAGTATTGGAGGGATGATATATAAAATAGAGGTAAATGATGGGGGAATCTTTTCCACAGATATACAGTGGCCCCAAATGTGTTTGGACTCTTAAAGCCTTGCATGAAATGTATGAATAGGCCGGTGGAGTAATTGATGATGAGCGACACCTGCACCACTCACCGGATTCAGCAAAAAAAAGATGCATTACATTGGTCAAAAGTGACAGTAAAGACTTTTACATTGTTACAAAATATTTTATTTCAAATAAATGCAGTTGTTTTGAACTATTTATTCATGAATAAATCCTAAAAAAAGAGATAATTATAATAATAATAAATGTTTCTTGAGCATTAAATCGGCATATTAGAATGTTTTCTGAAGATTCATATGACATCGAAGACTGGAGTTATGATGCTTGCAATTCAGCTTTGCATCACAGGAATAAATTACATTTTAAAATATATTAAAATAGATGTTATTTTAATCCCATGTTTAAAAGCACTTTTAATATTAAGTAATATTTTATTAATAACATTATTTAATTGCTTTTTAATATTATTTTCTCTGTTTATTTATTTATTACTTTTTATTTATTTGTAGCAGGCATGTATAAAAATGGCCAACTGCCTGAGTTGCCAGAGACCAAACCTTGGGTGGATGATGGCTTTTGGGAGATAAAGAGATCAAACAATGCCATAGTTGATGAAGCCTATAAACAATTCAGTGGTATGAACTAAAATCATCTTCATTCATTAATCAAAACCACTTTCTAAACCATTCTTCAAACACATCAGCAGTCACATTTCCAAAGCCCTAATTTAACATCTTTTTGGTAATCATCTCAACAGATGTTCTCCATGAATGCAGGCTGCTGAACAGTCGGGCAGCCCACGTGATCTCACAAAACGAACGGACCATCAGCTTCAAGAACCAACCAAAGCAGTATGCCGTTTAAATCTGGGAATCTCTCGATCTCATTCCATAAGAATGCATGTTTTTTTCCCACAGCTTTTTCTGTGTCTTTTTAAAAGTCCATAAGCTTGATGCATCACCGGTGCCAGAAATCCAAAATGCTCCGTGTTGCCTGCAGTGTGAGGGTTTAGTTTCCAAATGTGTTTGGACTCTTAAAGCCTTGCATGAAATGTATGAATAGGCCGGTGGAGTAATTGATGATGAGCGACACCTGCACCACTCACCGGTCTCGAGTCCCACGGAGGAGCTCCGGAAGGCCTGGTCCTCTCTCCTTTCACTGACGTAACTCCTCCATTTATCCTTCCGGAGCTCCTCTGTGGGACTCGAGACCGGTGAGTGGTCTCTCGTCACATACCCCCATCTCCTCTCTCAGGCCGGGGGGTACTCACGAGACTGCGCTCTACTCCCCCCTGCCCCTCCCCCCTCTGGGGGAGCCGATCACGGCGGCCGCGGCGTACCTGGGGGGAACTCTCGGCCCCGCCCCTCTCGTCACATACCCCCATCGCCCCTCGCAGGCCGGGGGGTACCCACGAGACTACGCTCTACTCCCCCCTCCGGGGGAGCCGATCACAGCGGGCGCGGCGTACCTGGGGGTAAGGACAGACAGACGAGGGGAGAGAAAAGGAGACAGAAGGATGAGAAGAGACAGAGACGAGAGAGGGGAAAAAAAATAAAAATCTTGTTCCGGTTCCCAGACACACAACCGCTCTGCCCTCCACTAGCTGGGTAAACTCTTCCGCGATGCCTGGCGGCGGCACTGGACAGCCCTCGGTGGATGGCCCGACACTCCTCCGCCGCCCGGTGGACGGCGACGGCTCCTCCGGGTTCGGGCAGCCGGCAGGAGTCCCCCGTTCCCTGCTCCTCCCCATCATGGCGGACAGCAGCAGGCTCCGGCCTCAGGTGAACGGCGGCGACTCCTCCGCTCCCTCACGGACGGCAGCCGTCCCTCCACAACCCAGGCGGCCAGCAGCGAGTTCTTCCGCTCCCCCGGCAACTCACTCCAGCCCACCGCCTCGAGCGTCCACGGCGGCAGACTGCTCCGCCATGCTCGATGGCACCGCGGATTCACCACAGCGGCGAGGGATCTCTGGCAGCGTGTTGCTCTTTCCTCCCGGGTTTCGGCACCAATGTAACAGCGTTCGTAGTTTCCTGAAACCACGCCTTCTTTCTTTGCGTGCACATTTGGGCGGCGTTGTGCTAATATTTCCACACAGTGACGTAAACGTGTGGGGGCGTGTTAGAACGAGCTGTTTTAGGTAGGCGTGGTTGACTCTTAACTTTTATAAAGTATATCTCTTTGGATTTGAGACTTTAGTCTTTGCAACTTTACAGATCTTCTTTATGCACCAAGAGCTTGTAACACTCCAAAGAGAAAGGAAAACTTGAAATCGCATCATATGACCCCTTTAAGTGTCATTCTGAATGGAGATTAATAAAAAAAAATGGCAAAGTGTCCAAATGCTTTTTTTAGGCCACATATCTTGCTTCACAGTTTTATGGCACCACTCTCTCACAGTACACAAATTGCTTTGTGGAAAACAAAAACAAGTAATGTCCCCATCAGATCTGCTGTCTTCTTTGAGGGGTTTGTTAAAAAAAATCTTTCTCATTTGTGTGGGATCATCAGTGACCAGTAGCCTTAATGTTCTAGGCTGATTTAAACTCAACTTTTTGCAGATTTGTGAAACTACACCCCTCATTTTACACCAGGGATAAGTCCTTTCCTTTTTAATAGCTCACATTTAATCACAACTAATTGGTTTGTATTTGTCTAATCTTTTGACCTCAGGATGATCCCTGGTGTAATTCACCTTGGCTTGTACATGCTTGTTGCCTTAATTGCACTTTCCACATTGTGTTCAAAAGCACTTAAAAGTTTGCATGCAAAGTTAATGGGATCATACTTAGTCTTTTAAGTCTGGCTCAGTCTAATTAACTGCTTTAGCTGCTGTGTGCTTGTTTGCAAAGAGCCACGGTGAAGCTCAGCCATAGTGGCAGTCGCATTAAACACAGCGCTTTTTAAAAGCATGGTTAATTTGCTTGCATTTTACTTTTACTTACTTTGTGTATCAGCTTAAATTTGTCTTCCAGTGTTATTGATCTGTTATCTTTGAAATTGTCTTTGCAGGTGTCCCGTGTAATGGGAGTCATAAAGACTCAGAGCCCACAGCCGAGAACGTTCTCCAGAGGCGTAAGTTCAAACCAACACGCACCATGTATCACGGTATTTGTATGGTATTTTTTGCAAACACATTGAATGTAAATAGTGTGGTACACAAATATGTGACCCTGGACCACAAAACCAGTCATAAGTGTCAATTTTCCTGAAATTGAGATTTATACATAATCTGAAATCTGATTTATGTATGGTTTGTTAGGATAGGACAATATTTTGCAGAGATACAACTATTTGAAAATCTGGAATCTGAGGGTGCAAAAAAATCTAAATACTGAGAAAATCACCTTTAAAGTTGTTCAAATGAAGTTCTTAGCAATACATATTTCTAATCAAAAATTATTTAAATATTTACGGTAGGAAATTTACAAAATATCTTCATGGAACTTAATATCCTAATGATTTTTGGCATAAAAGAAAAATAGATAATTTTGACCCATACAATGTTTTTTTTTTGGCTATTGCTAAAAATATATCCAAGCGACTTAAGACTGGTTTTGTGGTCCAGGGTCACATATGGTAAAAATTTAGTACCATGGTCAATATGAAAGCAGTTTGTGGTCCAGTTTGGTTCATTTATAATGTACAGTTTGGTTCATTTGTAAAGCTTAGCTTTTACATCACTTGTCCCAAACCATTTTTTAAATGTTTTAATATGTTACAAATATTAGGAAAATGGGATATAGTGACCTTAAATGTGAAAATACACAGTTTGACAAGTAAACCTGATTAAAGTGTAAATAAAAACAAAAGATTTTTTGTTTTAAAAAAAAAAAAAAAAAAAATCTTATTTTCTTCAAATCCCATTTTTATAGTAGTTTTATGTGTTTAAGCCATACACTATATTGTTGGGGAAAAAAGGGTTTGGTACATAAAAGGTCAGTTTTAGTTGCCTGAAAGGAAAGCGCTTGGAAGAGCTTAATGTCCAGCCTTGGGTATAAAGCTTCAATCACAAAAGAAGTCTTAAGCATTAATTTTGCTGCCTGCAGAAATTATTTAGTTGTGCCAGTTGAGTAGTTACTTCAGTCAAGATTGTTCACCTGAAGGCGTTGGTTTTTTGGCACTAGTAAAAGCAGAATGAGTCAGACCTACTCAAAACAAACAGCAAAACTTGAAATGGATGCCTTTGTTGTCCTTGCTATTCTGGAGACGTTAGTTATAGCAGCCAGCAGTGTTCAAACTTCATGACCTTTTGTACTAAAACCCTCAAATTCCTTGTCTAAACTTTATGTAGAAAGCCTCAGATTGCCAGATTGTGATACTTGTGATCCATTTCCAGATTCAGTCTTGTTTTCTGTGCTTTATTTGGACAGATTAAAACTGTAACGTTAATTCCTGGAGATGGAATCGGTCCAGAGATCTCCACTGCAGTAATGAAGATATTTGAAGCAGCTAAGGTAAGTATCTGTTGTTTTACTCTTCGGGAATGCAGCACAGGCTGCAAGTTCCAACAAGTGCATTATCCAGGTTTTCTGCATGTCAGGCTTAAAACTGAGCTACTGTTATATATTTTTAACCCTTTTGTGCACTATTTTAAATCTTAGTTGTGAACTTTTTCCTCACCCAGGCCCCTATTCAATGGGAAGAGAGAAACGTCACCGCCATCAAAGGACCTGGAGGCAGGTGGATGATCCCTCCTGAGGCCAAAGAGTCGATGGACAAAAACAAAATTGGATTAAAAGGTACATTTGCTGACTGTGTATCATATTAGGCAAATTTTCATAGTATATAGGAAACTTACATGATCAAAATTGAATTATATTACAGGACCACTGAAAACACCAATTGCTGCTGGACACCCGTCCATGAACCTGCTGCTAAGGAAGACCTTTGACCTGTATGCTAATGTGCGTCCTTGTGTGTCAATCGAGGGCTATAAGACGCCTTACACTGATGTGGATCTGGTCACCATCAGAGAAAACACGGAAGGAGAGTACAGTGGGATTGAACATTTGGTAAGTATGAGTGCTCACCTGTCTTTTAAACTATTTACCCAGTAACCCAACCAAACCAGGGCTAGTTGCTCTTATTCTTTTGATTTCTACTTCAGAGATCTGCATTTGCAGGAAAAAGTATGTGAACCCATTGGATTTAATGGATTTCTACATCAATTGGTCATCAAATTGGATCTGACTTTATAAATAAGTCCTTTTTTTTTTTTTTTTTTTTTGTTAAATTGGACCATTCATCATTAAAAACTAGTTTAGTATTCTTAATGCCAAAGCATCTCAGTTAGTCTGACATCAGGATTTATGGGGTTCACATACTTTTGTCCCGCAACTGCATTTAGACCTTTAGTTCCAGTGTAGCACAATAGGATGACATTTGACTTTTGGAGCCCTCAGCAGCTGATTGTCTCCCTCACAAATGTCAAAGGTCGTGTTATTGTCATCTAATGCTGTCTTAACCAGTTTCTCATGCAGCGCTAGCGGGAATTCAGTGGCACAGCTCATATTTCAGTGCTGTTTATTCTTTAGGTAGGTGCCACTCGGCTGCTGTAAATCAGTTGTCTCTGGTCCCAGTCCATAGTGTGTCCAAGCGTCATGTGAAATGACCTTCGGGTCATCACATTCCATTCATGCGATCTTCCCTTTGTCTGTTCACGTTATGAACTTGTACACTACGGTTCAAGAGTTTGGGGTCAGTGAGATTTTTTTGGGGGGGGGCGATTAATACTTTTATTCAGCAAGGATGCATTCAATTGATCAAAAGTGACAGTAAAGACATGTATATTGTAGGCTTGCCGCAATATATTATACATGTTTACTTAGCCTATTTCCAGTTTTGTATACCTATTTAAACTTGATGTAAGTTATTTGTTATTTTATATTAGGCATAGCCTGCCGTATAGCATGGTGCATTTGTATTTGTTTTGTTAATAAAAGTTCTATGTTTTATATATAGGCTAAAGTGAGTTTGACGTTATATTTTGTTGTTGCATTCAAGCAATTGACGCCGAACTGCCGCTAATAAAATGCGCACGCCGCTTTTACAAGCTATTTAAAAACGAAGGAAAGCGAGGAAAAGAGGGAACGCCCCGCCTCCTCGGTATTACCGGTGTTGTCACACGTCGATTAACCGGTGGGAAAATTTCCTCACCGTCACAACCCTAGTATAATGAAGATTTATGTTTCAGAGAAGGGAGCACAACTCATTTCAAAATTGATAAGAAATGTTTCCTGAGCAGCAAATCAACATATTTAAGTGATTTCTGAAGGATCGTGTGTCACTGAAGACTGGAGTAATTATGCTGGAAATTCAGCTTTGCATTACAGGAATAAATTACATTTGAAAATATATTAAGCACGTAGAACACAGTTTTCACAGTATTACAGTTTTTACTGTGATTTTGACCACATAAATATAGTCTTTGTGAGAGAATTCTTTCAAAAAATTAAAAAAAATTCACTCCAAACAGTAGTGTAAATGTTAAAACATCTTTTTACTTTTCTCAAATTTTCTGCTGATATTAAAAAAACAAAACTTTCAGACCCAAAATTTTTAAATGGTAATGTACATGATGTGATTTTACACATAAGGCATTAAAGGGACAGTCCACACAAAAGTGAAAATTCTGTCATTAATTGCATGTTGTTCCAAACCTGTAAGATCTTCGTTCATCTGCACCCTGCATAGACAGCAACACAACTGACACGTTCAAGGCCCAGAAAGGTAGTAAAGACATCGTTAAAAAAATCCATGTGACATCAGTGGTTCAACCTTAATTTTATGAAGCTATGAAAATACTTTTTGTGCGCAAAAGTAAAAAAAAAATGTTTTTACACAAAAAGAATTCTTGTAGCTTCGTTAAAATGTCACATGGACTATTTTAACAAACTCCCTTTCTGGGCCTTGAACGTGCTGTTTATGCAGGGTCAGAAAGCTCTCGGATTTCATCAAAAATATCTTAATTTATGTTCTGAAGATGAACAAAAGTCTTATGGGTTTGGAACGACATGAGGGTGAGTAATTAATGACACAATTTTCATTTTTGGGTGAACTATTCCTTTAAGTTACCTTCTAGATCAAGTCCACCATAAGAAACTTGTGCAAACTTAAATCTGAGTTTGTACAACAGTCATCAAATCTTGCCCTTTTGTATGAGCTAACCTGACCCTGTTTTTTGAAACCTAACATGGTTTTTCAAGATTTTGTCAAGATCTGGTTATCTCAATGTTATATTTGCACTATTTTCACTCTTAATCAGATTGTGGATGGAGTTGTGCAGAGTATTAAACTGATCACAGGGGAGGCCAGCAGGCGCATCGCTGAGTATGCATTTGAGTACGCCAGGAATAACCAAAGAGCCAGTGTCACGGCCGTTCACAAAGCCAACATCATGTGAGGGTCACAAATCACATAATAACTTTGTAGCTATGAAGAATTTCTGTATAACAAGTTTTTACTGATAACAAATGTCTTGTTGGATCTAATTACAAAATAATTGTAATATATGAAGATGCTAAATTCAGTGATGTCTTCTAGGCGAATGTCCGACGGTCTGTTCCTGAGGAAGTGCAGAGAGGTTGCTGAGAATTACAAGGACGTGAAATTCACTGAGATGTATCTGGATACAGTCTGTCTCAATGTATGCTTACAAGAGAACTTCATTCATTATTCATCTGTGAAACATAAGTTTTTTTTTAAATAATGTGCTTTTTGCTGTTTTTATTAGTTTTTTATATTGTATTGTATTAAATTAGTTTTTATATTAGTTTTATATTGTATTATATTTTATTTCAGCTTTATTTGAATTACGTACACTTTTTCTTAAAGCAGCACTAAGTAGCTTTTGGCGCTCTAGCGGTTAATAAACAGAACTGCACACATCCCGCGGAAGAACATTCCAACCGGAGCTACTTCTCTAAGTTTATGTCTATGGCGATTCACGCAGGTATGTGTTCCTCCGCAGCGGTGAAGACCCGACCAGACTACAATAGTCCAAATACAAGTACTTATTATAAGCGTACCGTAGTGATTTGGAATAAGACAAAAAGGCGGTTTGGAGGATGAATTCGTGATGTACTCGCTCATTATATACGTTTTGCACATTTTTAACAGAAAAAGTTACATAGTGCTGCTTTAAATAATCATCTATTTAATACATAATATATTTTATATATCTAGTTAACAATTACAACAATGCACTGCATGCATAATAAGCAGTGCTGCATGCTCTGAGTTTCAGTTTGGCCTTTTTTACTTATACTGTGAAATATGGAAAATACAGAAATCTTGTGCATTGCATTCACACACCGCGAATACAGTTTGGGCTTGACTTCCCTGTAGTTTAATCCGCATTTGAAAATAAATGTGGTCCCCCTTTTCATGTAAATTAAATTTCATGAGGATCAACTTTGTAATAATTCTCAAACCATTTTATAATTGATGTGAGTCATTAGAAGACCTGCTCAATGTAGTGACCCAGAAATCATTTTACTTTCACAGCCTTTACATTACTTTGTATTGTGATTATCCACTAGATGGTGCAAGATCCCTCTCAGTTTGATGTACTGGTAATGCCTAATCTTTATGGCGACATCTTGAGGTGAGTCTATATAAAGCATCATTTGATAATATATGTGATATGATTATATCTACAAAGTGCAAGTCTCACCCAGGCTTTGATTTGGGTTTCAGTGATCTGTGTGCCGGATTGATTGGGGGTCTTGGAGTCACTCCCAGTGGAAACATCGGAGCAAATGGTGTCGCCATATTTGAATCCGTATGTATTGGACTCTGATGCAATAGCTTCACAATGGAGTGATTGATCAAATAGCATCATTCCATATATGTGACCCTGGAGCACAAAACCAGTCATAAGTAGCACTGGTATATTTGTAGCAATAGCCAACAATACATTGTATGGGTCAAAATGATCAATTTTTCTTTTATGCCAAAAATCATTAGGATATTAAGTAAAGATCATGTTACATGAAGATGTTTTGTAAATTTCCTACCGTAAATATATCAAAACTTAATTTTTGATTCATAATATGCATTGCTAAGAACTTCATTTGGACAGCTTTTAAAGCGATTTTCTCAATATTTGGGATTTTTTTTGCACCCTCAGTTTCCAGATTTTCAAATAGTTGTATCTCGGCCAAATATTGTTATATACTAACAAATCATACATCAATGGAAAGCTTATTTATTTAGAATATAAATTTTGGTGGTCAAGGGTCACATATCATAATCCATTTTTTTATGTGTTAGGTACACGGAACTGCCCCCGACATCGCAGGCAAAGACCTGGCGAACCCCACCGCCCTTTTACTGAGTGCCGTCATGATGCTGCGCCACATGGGACTGCATGGGTATGCTAATAAGATTGAGACGGCCTGCTTCGACACCATACGGGAAAAAAAGGTAGGATCAGTCATTGAATGTGAATTTAGATTCTAGCTTCTACCATCAAGACAGAGGTTATTTTTTTATGTCTGTTACCCATCTAATATTTCAGGTTCTGACTAAAGACCTCGGTGGAAACTCTAAGTGCTCAGAGTTCACAGCTGACATCTGCCGAAGAGTGCAGGACATGGATTGAGGCTTTTCTAGTGTGTATGTTTGGATCTGATGCCTAAAGAACTGACAGTCAAAAAAAAAAAAATCTTCGTATCATTCTAATATATGCGCACAATTCTACTAAGTGTCTGCATTTTCATTTCTCCAGAACCGCAAAGCACTGTCTTAAATTCTTGTCCTTAAGTGATTGTATTTGTGAGCTGTTTTAATCTGTCAAAAAGGAACTACATAATCCAAGATAAAATGTATTTATTGACTGGACACTTTCTCTGGTTTGATGTGTTTTGAAAATTTGCCATTCTGTCATATGACAGGAATAATCTTGTCCAAATAGTAGAGGCGTAAATACATAAAGGGTATTTTGAATTATTATTATTATTATTTTTTTGCTTCAAAGTGTGGTAAATCCGTTAAAACCGTGAATATATGTTTCACATTTTTATGCTTAAGCTTTTACATCAGCTATGAACTTTGCATTATGGTTAACAATTAATATAATTCAAACAGTTCTTGACCTTTGCTGTGTCAATTGTGAAATGACTGTACTATCAAGACATGACTTTGGATGGATATATGTACGTCTATTTTTATGGACAAAACAACTCATGTCTTTATTTTTACAGAGCACTATTATAAGATCATTATAGTAATACTGCATAATCTAACATTACCAAATACAGTAAATCCATAGACAAAGCGGCAAAGCACAAGATTTATTTTTAAGATCTGGGCAAAACATACAAGAATATTAAACGTATCCAATTTACATGGAAGACAATTAACAGTATGTTTAATGATAGAAATAAAAAAAAATTATGGCACTTAGTGTTTTTAGATTTCTAATTTCTACAATATGATTGGCCAAAAAAGCAACAGTATCTTTAACAGAGATACAGCCAGTCTGGAGGTTGTCTATTCTCTGTAAAAACTCTCAATTTCACCGTGATACATCTGCAACACCACTGGGCGACGTAGTTTCATTGTAGGACCTGAAAAGTAACATAATTCTATTATCTTTTGGAAATAACTATTGTTCCAGTTTCAGTAGAAGTAAAGATCCATCAGAAAATATATTATTTTTGTCCCCATTGGATAAAAGTAATGTGTGCACAGCACTCACCTAGTTCTCCTCCAACAATTGAGAAATCTTTCCCTATTATGGTCCATTTTTGAATGCGCTGGGCATTTGAGGTTGCTTTTGAGTTGACCCGTTCAATGCCCTCTTCAATGGACTGGTACACTATCTTGTCTTTTCCTCCAATGATGTCTGACACCTTTGTCGATTGGCTACCATGCCGCTGACAGAATTCCACAGCCCCCAAGCTAAGAATGTCAGTGGGCTCTGTAGTCTCCGGATTGATTGTGCACTATCCAAGGAAAGGAATAATAGATTAACCTAAATGGTTTGAGTTGTTGAAGCCAGAGCCTTTCTCAAGGCATAGTTTACCTTTAGCGTTAGCAGCATGGACAGAAATTTTCTCTTGTCTCCAATCAGCATGGCATTGCTGATGATTGGCAACTCCTGTTTTACAGCATCCTCTATGGAAAGGGGGGCAATGTTCTCTCCTCCAGCCGTGATGATAAGCTCTGAATTGAAAGAGATTGAATGGAAATGCCATTTTAAGCTAACCTGAATCCAATTATAGCATCAAAGCTAGTAAAAATAGCATCCTTTACCTTTTATTCTTCCAGTGATGTAAAGAAAGCCATCTTCATCTACCTTTCCCAAGTCTCCAGACCGGAGCCATCCATCTTCATCCAAAGCCTCCTTTGTTTTATCCTCCAGATTGAGGAATCCCATGAAGACATTGCGGCCCCAGAAACACACCTCTCCAATGCCATCAGCATCTACGTTTACTAGTTTGTATCGGCAGCCCGGAACCACTTTACCACAGCTAGAAGAGTTTTGGGAATTGTTACACAGTGAACTTGTTGATCATTGGCCTTCAGATTGAAGGTACTCAACCTGTAAGTTGAGGTAAGAAGGCTTGCCTTGAAAATCGGTACGCTTTTGGTCCAGACATAAAGTGGGGTCCTGAGCTTTCACTCATCCCGTAGGCTTCATACAGCCGAATGTTGAGGCCAAGGAAGAACTGAAGAGTTTCATTTCCAATAGGTGCTGCTCCCGAGAAGAACTTCACACAATTGGAGATGCCTAGCTCAGCACGAAGCTTCTGCAAGACCAAACTGTCTGCAAGAGTGAAGAGGAATGACTTCTCCTCATCCCTAATTTAAAGAAAATGATCATAAACATAATAAAACTTCAAATAACTTCAATATAATGTGGACAGTGATATACTGTAAAACAAATGATGTACTTGGTAAGCCTTTGATTAGCCTCCAGACTAACAGACATGGCCCATGTCACCAGTTTCCTTTTCATGTATCCACACCGTGAAATGCCTTCTTTGATCTTTTCCATAATTTTCTCCCAAACACGAGGAACACCCATGTGGGCTGTAGGGGTTACCTCTCGAAGAGTGTCTACTAAACTCCCCTAAAAGGGAACATAAAATTTAATGTAAACACCAGAGCAATGTAGAGTAGAATTCGATCCTTTACAACAGTTGACAGTTGACTCCTTGACAATTCTGGCAGTGTGGCATGGTGCATTATCCTGTTGGCAACGACCATCACCGGCAGGGAACACCATTACCATGAATGGGTGCACTTGGTCCACAATGAAGTTCAGATACCTCATAGCTGTCAGTAATTGTGCTATTGGGATAAAGAGGCCTAAAGTGCCCCAAGAAAACATTGCCCACAGCTTAACCGGAACTGTGTCCACCCAACAGTGCGTCCAGGTGCCATAGCCTCTGTTGGTAATCGGTGTATCCGCACTCGGCCGTTGACGTGATGCACCGGGAATCTTGGATGGGGGGTGATTATAATGTATAAATTCAACCAACTTCAGGTCTCTGACTTTAGAGAGTTGATCTACTCGGGTCCTGTCCTGGTCTCGACTACAACACTGATATTTGATCATGATACAGCATTTAAAGCAGGGGTTCCAACTTCCAGTAGAGTGTGTAAGATTGGTAGGAAGTGTGTAAGAAGGGCAGGCATATTGGAGCTAAACTCTGCAGCAAGGTGGCCCTCCAGGAGAAGGACTGATTGGCCTAAAGCTAAACAAAGGTTCTGTTCTTAAACATTTACCTTTAGAGCATCTGGCTGAGCAAAGGAAACTTGCTCCCCCCACTGGATCCCTGTCCAGAGATCATAGATCTGGGCGGCAATATGGCTGAGAGGAAGGTAGCTGACCAGAGACTCTTGCCTGATTTCAGCTGGCTGCATATCTCCAGCCCTGCTTGCATGGTGGGCTGTCCATGTGATCTGTAAGAGTCCAGAATTTAAAACTCATTAATCTGCAGCAAAATATTGCTGCTATATTGTGAATGTAATTTTCTTGCAGCTTACGTTATCATGGCTTAGCATCACTCCTTTCGGGGATCCGGTTGTCCCAGATGTGTAAATAAGTGCACAGCACTGATTGGCTTTCTGACTACTGATGATTTCATCTAGTTCTTGATCAGAAACTTCCAGTCCTAGTCCCATGAACTCTTCCCACTGTTCAAAGACAAACAGTAATGGTAACTCTTTGGGTGACTTTGGCCTACATGCTAACTCAGAGATCTCTATATCAGACACTCACCGAATAGAAATTGGGCAACTTCTCCTTCAAAGATCCAGAATACTGTACTATGGCTTTCAAGTGTGGAAGCTTATCCTTTACCTAACAAGACAAACAGGAGTATTAATCAGCTTGCTTATTGAGTATGAGGAGGTCCAGGCTGAGAACATAAAGTAGACCAAATGTTACCTGTAAAATCTTATCCAGCTGCTTTTGATTTTCCACAACAATGATATTGGCTCTTGAGTCTTTAGCAACGTAGAGGCAGGCATCTGGCGAGTTTGTGGTATAGATACCCGCCATTATACCCCTAGCACAAACAAAATATAGATGTGAGGGCAATGATCCTGGACCTAATACTCCCTTCCCACTTTAATAAATTCAATTAATGTTTTATTTGATGTTAAAGGCCCCTGCAACATCTTGACCAATGTGTAAACAAGCTTTTTACACTTAAGATCGTTAACCCAGGGTCATTTTAGTAATCTTGTTCCATGTTTCACACTAAGTACATTTACATGTACTTTAAAAGTTAGATTTGTATGCTTTTGTGATATTTGTGAAGTCAGACTAACAGACCAGTTGGAATAATGCAACTGTATCTTGGCTTCATCCAGCATGTATAGTATAAACCAGGGGTCCTCAACTCTGGACCTTGAGATCAACTTCCCTGAAGAGATTAGCTACAACCTGAATTAAACACACCTACATGCAACTGTAGTAATCCTGAAGACCTTGATTAGCTTGTTCAGGTGTGCTTGATTAGGGTTGGAGCTAAACTCTGCAAGAAAATGGATCTCGAGATTGAGGACCCCTGGTATAAACAGTATTCTAGACATAGTTTGAATACACAAATCCAGCTGCACCTCGATTATGCAGTACAATTTAAATTGAAAAATTGCAAGTGTGGAATTTTTAATCTAAAAAAAAACATGGATATTTCTCACCCTGCAAAGACAGTTCCAACAGCAGCAATAAACCACTCTGCTGAATTGAACCCCAGGATGGCTACACTGTGGAACTGCTCCAGACCAAGCTAGGAGAATTTTCAAATATTATTGTATTATATCTAATCTATAAATTACATGAGAACGAGCTGTGCAAATTAAATTTGTAAAATGAACACACTATGTATAAATTAGTGTTTAAAAACTGCTCTAAGATCACCTTTAGAAAGCCTTTGGCGGCCATTCGACTGAGGTGATAATATTCCGAAAAGGTAACTTTTTCCCATTTGTTTCCTCTTTTGCTTGCCAAAGCAGTCAACTTCCCGTACTTCTGAACTGAGTTAGTAAACATCTGATACACAGTGATGGGCTGTTCTGGACAAAGTTCATCCATTCTCAGCTGAACTGATCCGCTGGCCTCTGTAGTCCACAGGCATTGGGCTGGGGCCAATTCTGCACCTGCCAGAACCTCCTCAATGCTCTTTTTCTCTGCTGCATTGGATAAGAGATCATCACAGTTCAATGACTAAAAATTTGATGATGCGAACAACAGGATTAGAAGGTCAGAGCATAATCCTGATCTCCAAACTCTGAATATGCAAAATAAAATATTAGTTACTCTACTTACACAATCCATCCCCAACATTCTGCTGCAAAAGGTCTGTCATGGGTGAACAGTCCGAGCTGAAACACAGATTGCTGGTCTGTTAGATAGCAGTGGACTCTGGCTCTCCCTGCAGTCAGACCCGGCTCTTGCTGCCATATCCATGAGTCACATGCCGCAACCGCTCAACAGCATTGTAAGCCCCCACAGTGACACGTTTGGGTTACTAAGTACTAAAGCCCCAGCAGCTTTGTTGACAGAGGGGAGCTCACAAAATGTGTGAATTTAGTTCCCATCAGTCATGGAAACTTCTATTCTCTCTTTCACTTCAGTTCTTGACGTAACGGATACAAGTGAGAGGGCACATTTGGTTACTTTAAAATTGGCATCCCAACAAAATGACTTTGTTAACAAGAGTGCCAGAACTGGCAGCTGAGCTGATTTCATTTCCGCAACGTTTTTTTCAAGTAGTCTTCTGCCAAACTATTTAGAAAAAACAAGACATTTCACGTCTTATTCTTATATATGGCAACCGTATCTGAACATAACTTAATTCCAATTTTTACTTTTTTTTTTTTTTTTGCTATGAAACACCACAAACCCTAAAATTACTGAAAAAATGACAAGACAAACTGTACTTTTTTAAATCATAAGTTT